TTTAAGATGTCTACACTAATTTCTCCCATGATGTTAGCTGACTTTTACAGGGGACACATTTTAAAATGGAAATACCCCTAAAGCTTAGAAAAGTATTGTAAAAAAAGAGAGATAATGTTTAGATGAGTACCAGTGCATCTCATACGATATGAAGCAGGTCAGGAGACTCCAGTTCCATTATCTGAATTCATTTATTCATTCATTCAAAATTCATTAACTTAATTACTGGTAATAAGTCATGTCTCTGCTGCCTCCCAAGGACTCACAGTCTGAGGAGGATGACAATTCAAGATTCTGACAGAGTGAGCAAATCATGACAGCAGAGGTTGTCACTGAGCCTGTGTCAGGCCTGTGGGGCAGCAGAGGAGCAGGGAGGGTCAGACCATTGTGCCGAGGATGTGGAGTCAGAGATGAGCAGAGCCAGAGGCAGTGGCCTGGCCTGAAAAAGGCAAGGTAAGAAGTTTTAGTGAACACAAGCTCTTTGTGGCTTCTGTTGAGGTTTTCCTCACCTTTGCCCATATAGCAGGCTCTGCTTCCGTGCTCGGGTCTCCCACATCTGGAATGGTGGTCTTGGGGTGAGTCTCTACCGATAATTCTCACGCTAGGAGTAGACGATGTAACAGTTGACAAGAGGAGCCAGGCACCTGCCTCTCTGAGAAGCCTCCTTGTTGGCCCCGAGAAGACCATGTCATGACTGTTCTATAGGGCAACTGGGATGCTGGGAGTGTTCAGTACAGTCCTTGGCCATGGGAGACATATGGCTGCATTTAGACTAAGGGGATAAAGCTGGATTCAGTGATAACAGCTGTAAGTCCGGTATTTGGGAAGCAGAGAAAGGAGGATTACGAGTCTGAGGCCAGCATTGGATATGCAGTAAGTTCCAGAATGAGTCCCCTGATTGGTATTCAATACAAAATGGTCAGGTCTGGAACCATATGTACACAGACAGCAAAAATGGACTCAGCAGGTTGCACATATGTCTTTGTGCACACAAATACATTATGTAACCATAATAATCAAAGAAAAAGGCCATCAGTATGAGAGTGGAGGGGTTATGGGAGGATCTGGAAGTAGAACAGGAAGGGGGAAGTGAGGTAATTATATCTTAATTAAAAATGTATATGAAACAACTTAAGCTAAAAATAATGTAGCTTCCTGGAACCTCACTACGCACTGGTCTCTGATGGAGTGGTTCAACAACATGAATTTGACAAAAACCCCAAAATAAAATAAGGCCTGACTTCGATGCCCCCCTGCTATTGAAGACTGAATACCATGGCTGTGGAGAGCTGGACTGTTTCAGATCAAGGCATTTTATCTTGGACTGTCTTTAGCTTCTTAATTGTCATTGGTGTCCCACCTCTGTGTCCCACCGAACATCCTTGCGACCGTCAGGTAAGCCATTTTAGGATGTTAGCAGATGGCCAGCTCCCACCAATCCAAGAGCTAAGTATCTCTTCAAACAGCATCTAGGGCCCGGGGTAGATTTCTTTGTTTCACTGTAACCTTGTCAACCTGACGTCTCCATTAAGGTATTTTTAAAAATCCTTTGACTTATGTCTTTCTTCTGTTCTGTAACTATAAAACCTTCATGAGGCGTTTCCACGTCAGAAACTTGGGCAACTGGAATCAGTGTTCCTGGGAAATAGCCATTTGTATTTGTCTACAGAATAAACTGTCTCTTACTCCCTTTGAGATGAGAGCTGTGTTCTGCATCAAGACATGTGACCTTATGGTGCACGAGGGGTTGATCTGTTACCAGATACAGTTACTGAAGGCGTCAAGGCTGCAGAGTATCTTCAGATGGAGGTCATTCCTTTCCTCACTTCCTTTGCCCTGACATCGTGTGCTGGCATGCTTGCTGACAGTGAAGGCGGAACCAGACACAGGACTTAACTCTAGGCCTTCCATCCGCAGCTTTGTGAAAGGTCATAGAATGGAAGGGTCGGTAGGCCATCTTACCATGCACTTTCTTTTTCTCCTCCAGGTACTGGTAGCAGATGGAGGGAAGGCTAGATTCCATATTGGAGGCTGGAGTCAGCACATACACGTTAATAGGTCAGCACCAACACTGCTCATGGTGTGCTGGTTTTGATTCAACCCTCCTCCATCCCAGATGCCCCTGGAGGAGTACAAATTGATATCAGCGAACATTAACTAGACTCAGTAATTTGGGAAGTGCCTAAGCCCACGCACCCAGAGAATGAGGGAGGAGTGAAAGGGATGATAATGAGAGCCAGACATCACATGTCTCAGAGACATAACTTGATCAGAGGGCCAAGATCGAGCTCCAGGATGCCTGACTGCCTCTGTTTCTCTGGCCTCCTGAGTCTCCCTACATAATCTGCTTGCTGATGAGCTGGAAGGCAGGATTTTTTTAGGGTGTTAATCCACTGATTTCTCAGATTACCAGGTCTCTAAATAAAACACAGTTGAAAGATTGGGTTTCCGTCTCTGCTCATTGGCATTTGTGGTGGTAGTACCTATTCAGCATGCCGATTGCAGGCTGACACATGGCACTGATGGGCATTTTAAAGAGATGAGACCATCTATATTAAGTACTTGGGGTATTTCTCCTAGTCTTGAGACATCCAGTTTATTTTTTTTCTTTTTCACAGCTATATTTGAGGCGATCTCATGAGGAGCCAGAGATTATTATCACGTGTTCATGACCACCTTTCTTGTACATGTCTCTCACCCTCTCTTAATGCTCAAGCTTAAATTCTACATTTAAGACAAACTTCTGTTTCATAAAAGAAATAATATTTGACCTATTTTAGAAAACCAAGAACATGGGGCTATTTCTTTTTTTCTTTTTCTTTTCTTTTCTTTCTTTCTTTCTTTCTTTCTTTCTTTCTTTCTTTCTTTCTTTCTTTCTTTCTTTCTTTCTTTTTTTTGTTGTTTTTTAACACAGGGTTACTCTGTGTAGCCCTGGCTGTCCTGAAACTTGCTCTGTAGACCAGGCTAGCCTCTAACTCAGAGATTCACCTGCCTCTACCTCCCAAGTGCTGGCATTAGAGACATGTATTCCCACCATCTGGTAAATATGGGACTTATTAAAAAGTAGTAATCCTTGCCTACCACATGTTAACAGAAAGCTGAAGACATTATTCATGACTTTGGGAGGAAAAAACAACTTTTTTGCTTATTTTTCCCCCTGCTCTTTATCTTCATATTTCAAAATGGTAGGCTTCTCTTGCTATTTCTTGAATCTTCAGATCTTCGGTGTCTGGATGTAGAGAGTGGAATCTTGGCTCTTTTCTGTCGCAACCCCAACCTTACCTTGTACAGCTAAATTTCTCCAACTCTTTGTTCTCCCAGGAAAACTACATTACAGTTTTTCTCAAGTGCTCCATGGCCACAGAGGTGTGGTCTGTTTGTGACCCCGACTACACTGTCCACGGACTGGCACGTGACCGTCCATGGTTGGCACTAGCGTTCTGTGACTCACATTTGCTTCTGTCTTAGTCAGTGTTCTACAGCTGTGAAGAGACACCATGGCCACAACAACTCTTATAAAGAAAGCACTTAGCTGGGTCTTGCTTACAGTTTCAGAGGTTTAGTCCATTTTCAACATGGTGGGGAGCATGGCTGCACCCAGTTCTAGGCCGATATGGTGTTAGAAAAGTACTCGAGAGTTCTACATCTGAATCTACAGGCAGCAGGAAGAGAGAGACATTGGGACTAGCTAGGGTTTTAAAACCACAAAGCCCACCCCACCCCCAGTGACACACTTCCTCCAACAAGGCCACACCTACTCCAACAAGGTCACGCCTCCTAATCCCTCTCAAGTCATGCCACTCTCTAATGACCAAGCATTCAAATGTAGGAGCTTATGAGGGACAGTCTCATTCAAACCACCACATCTACCGTCGGAGTACAAGATGGGCTGTGCTTTCCTGATGACTCCAAAACTGGAGTTAGTCAGAGCCATGTGGCCAGCTCTAATCAATGAGTTAAAGGCGGGAGAGTTTCTTTGTGTGTATAAGTCCTCCAGAGCTTTCTCTGTCTGGCCTTGCTCACCTTTGAGCACAAGATGATCGTGAGTGGTACCACACAACAGGACAGTAAGTCTCAGATTCTTCTTCCCACAAAGTAGGCACTAATTTAACATTGAAGGGCAGTATCAACACAAAACCTGTGGCTTTCATCTTTAAAGGAACAATAGATAGTTTATTCTGGAGCCATTTTGAGTAGCCATGGCCCAGGAACACAGACTTAGGTGACCCTAAATTTCATGTTCCAATATAGAAGCAGTTTAATGAAGCTTTTATAGTTTTTACAGAACAAAGAAAGTCATAAATCAAGGCAAGTTTGAAATGCGTTGGTGGGTCCATCCGAGAGGTGGTTACAGCAAGATGGGGGAGCTTTTCCACAGGTCTAAGATGCCATCTGACGACATTTTTAGCTTCAGGGTTCGTGGAAGCTAAGCCAAGAGATTTCAGAATGTTTCTAAATCACAAGATGTAGGAATGGCCATTCCAGGGCCTACAGTGGTGGTGGGGTTTCTGTCAAATAAAAGCGGCTGGTCCTGTATCTGGAGTCTCTGCTGGCTTCTTCTGGATGGGTCTTCTGTATATGAAAGATATACATTTTTAGCAAAATCCTAGGTGGTTCTGAAGCTGTGGGCTTTGCTGCTGCAGTGTGATGATCATCCATACGACGCCATTGACATTTCCAGAGCACAGTAATACTGAGATGAGGCCAGCAAGCAGACTCTTCGCCATGGAGCTCAGTTTAGAAACCATGATGCCATAAGAAATTAGAAGGCAGCTGTGAAGTTCGTGGTTTGGGGATCAGTTGAAGATTCCATTTTTACATTTGTTCTAAATTTAGTGATCTATTCGCCACCCCTCCCCGTGCAAATAATATGACAGCAGAGATGAGAAAAAGGAAGTGACCTTGGGGAAAAACGCATCTTTGTTTATGATGCAGCCACTGCCCACTGGTTCTTGCTCAGTGTGTTTCCAGGTCCTCCTGTTAAATGGTCTGTGATGCTCTTTATATGATTTTCCAGGGACTGTGCAAAAAGCGATACGATGCTTCACTTACTGCCACCTAATTCCGAATATCTTGGACCAGGCATCTGAGGTTGGAATAGCAGAAAATTGCGGGGATGAGTGTGGCACACATTTCTGCACATTGGAGGAAGAACAAGAAATCACCATAGCATGAGCATGTCTGGATGGCTTACGTTTAATCTTCTGGGTTTACAAGACATGATGGAATTCTGCAGGGGCATTTTAAAAACCATCGCTTTTTAGCTCTCCTCAGAGCCCACCCTGCATGCCTGGTGCTAACACTTAATTACAGCCAAGAGAATCTGAGCAATCCAGCGCTCCCTCCTCACCCCAGCAAGCGTCAAGCAAAATCAATAGCCCCGTGCTGGCAGCACGAAGCTGTTGTCGCCTCCTTCATCCCCTCCGCGCATCTGCAATTGCTTTTATTACTGCAGTTCATTTAACGAGACCGGAGTGTTTGGAGCCAGATGGTGATGTTCCTTCAATCTGGAAGAGTCTAATGGAATTGAGTTCAAACCAGGTTAAAATTAATGGAATTACACATTTTAGTGGTCATTTTCTCTTAGCAGCACGCTCTGGGTACTTGTTATACAGCAGAAGTTAGTGCCAGCTTCAAATGAAGGACCTGAAAGACAATTCAGTGAGACCTGGTGTATTCATACACTCCCTCATTCAACACATACTTCATTATGCTCTGTGTCACAGCCACGGCCATTGTGGTTTCAGAATCATGGTCCCTGTCATGCACCGGGGGTGGCAGGCAGAGCTAAGCAGGCAGGCAAAATCACTCTGCGTGTGCGCGGTCTCTAGGGCGGGAGGAAACTGGCATCCAGAGTCGAGGGTGCAGGAATTTGAGGGCCAGGTAAGGAATAAATACACAACTGCTTTAAATTCACCATTTTGTTGGGTCTACAGTTCTGTCCCCTCCCCCAAAGAATGAAATGCAAAGAGAGAAAAGAGTCACCGTGCATGGAGACCCGAGCTTCTCTGGATGTCTCCTGCTGTGGGCTAAAGTCCCATGGAAAGGTCCAAACTTCAAAAGTGGCCTCAGCCTGGACCTTTTCCACAGGAAAAGTCAGCAGTAAATATTGACACCAGAATCAATCATCGCTGTTGAAGTTCCGGACTGCTCCAGCCAGCCAGGGCAGCCAGGTCGCAGGTGACAAGGATAAGACAGCCGCCCTCAGAAAGAACTGTCATCCTGAAGCTGTGGAGAGGCGTCTCCTGGGCCCTGGGTCACAGTTCTCAGGATGAAGTGGGCAACGCTGCAGACGCTCGTTATGTTGGTGCTGGGAATGTGCTACCGGTGTGCCTTAGGTAAAGGACCCACTTAGCCACCTGCTCTAGGGGATCAGAGCCCTCTCCAGGTTCCATCGCCTCTCACTGCGGCCTCTGTTCTTGCTGTCCAGGTTTCCCGGTGTACGACTTCGACCCTTCCTCCCTGCAGGAAGCCCTCAAGGCCTCAGTGGCAAAGGTGAACTCTCAATCTCTGAGTCCTTACCTGTTTCAGGAGACCCGGAGCTCCCTGAAAAGAGTGAGTGACTGGGGAGGGACCCCTTCCCCCACCTTCTTTGACATCTCTGCCATGTCCTTGCTTGCTTTCTTGAATAGATCATTTTTATCTTTTTGTTTACAAAGATCACAGCCGGTCCTTTTTCATGTTGACTGTTTCAGAGAAGAGATTTTAATTATAGTTTTTGCCCCGAGGTTCTCCAAGCTTCTTGGGACAGCTGATTCTTCCTTCTGTGTTTTGCCTCTGACCTTGGCTTCTCTCTGTGCGTGTCCTGGTTTGGGGTGAAGAGTTCTGAAGCCCTCCTGGCTCCTAGGATGCTGTTGGATTAGTAGGAGCTGTTCTAGTGAGGAGACTCTCTTCTCACTCAGCTTTGGGTTCCCAGTGTTTATAGGAAAGAAACCCTGGCTTCGGAGCCAAAGAAATGCCCCACTTTGTCAACCTTATAGTGCTGTTTCCTGATCACCCAGAGAACTGAGCAAAGTGACTTTATCTTGGGCTTGCTGTGACTTGTTGTAGCAAAAATGAAGGGGAAAGGGAGCAGTATCATAGAGGAGCATCTCTCCTTCCTGCCCCCTGTCCTGAGGATTTCACTGTCTTCTTATTGGCTTAATGGGGCTCAGAGGAAGGTAGGGACAGAAATGCTCTCCAAGCAATTGATGTTTACGCCAAAGATTAGGAAGAAATAGAGCAGATAGGCTCATGGAGACAAGAGTGGAACCACGTGGCCACATGACCAGGCCGCCACTACCACCACGGAGAGGCCATACTGCCACCATAGTCTCTACGGCTTCCTTTCTTCTCCACCCTACTCTAGACCCATGGCTTCTTACACTTAGCTGTTCCTCTGCTGCTCAACAGAGTGCACACTGTGCTTTCCCAGCTTGCCTTCATGTAGGACAAGTCCCTTTGGCCTCCCTTTTCAGACACTGGTTCCGTGTTTTCTTTTCTGAATGCAAAGCAAATTCATTGACCAGCTTCAGTTGCCTTTTATAGCTGGGTGTGGTTATGACGATGTGGGCTGAGCTATAATGAGGCACCAGCCCCCGGACCTGACTGTCAAGGCTGGCACTGAACACTATTGTGGGGAGGCACTTGGAGGCGGGTATAGGCAGCTGCCAGCCAAAGGCCACACTGCTTCTGAAAGAAAGCTACACCAAATGAAGTTGCCTCTTTCTCCAACCCTGCTTTTGCTGGCATCTAGGCCATGCTCTGTTGGCACCGGATGCAATTCTTTTAGAGTGTTGTAAAACCCACATCCTCTTGCCAAATTTGCAGATCAACAGTTTAAATTCACTTATAGTTTAGCTATTGCTCACTATAGAACAAGGCAATTCATTAAATAGGAACACAGGGAAACATGGCTAACCCAGAATATTCGGACATGTGGCCATCTTGGCCTGACTCTAGGCTCATGTACTTAAAGATAACTTATGTGATCCTAACAGATACTTAGTGAGATACTTGCTGTCTCAGAGTATTGCTCCCCCACCTCGTGCTTTTCTGCCTGTTCCTGCTCCTCCTTCACTCTCCCCCATCATTTGAGTGTATTGGTCAAGCAGCATTCTCCATGATCGTTCCTCAAGCTCTGCATTCCACAATGTCGCAGGAAGTGCACACAGGGCCACCGAAGTTTCTGCAAAATTACAGAGCAGAGATGGCCTTTACTCCTCAGTATTGTGTTCTTCCTCCGTGAGGGAGACTTACCCAGGCTTCCTCACTAGCCAGATGGCCTTTCTTCTCTGCACCCCCTTACAACCCCATCAGGAAACTACGGCATCTGACAGTGAGCAGCAAAGTGCCGAAGGCTGCTTCCGCCGCTTGCATCCAATGGGAGGAGAGCTAATTAGTATAAAGACAGAATTTGGAATTCCAAGAGAAGCCGAATACAAGGTCCTGGAAACCCAGCCCTCTAGCCTGGTTGCAGAAAGAATGAAAAAGTATGTTTGAGAGAGAACCATAAGGGTATGACCGAGTGGATGCTGGCAGCAGAAATTACCGTGGGTGGACAGAGAAGCCTGGGTTGCCTCCGTACTCTGTAGACGTCCCATGGCTGACAAGACTACAGCTTGTCCGACATTCCCCATCTCTCCAGCACTGCAGGAAATGAGGCTCCCCTCTCTACACTGCGCTGGTAGCATGGGTCAGACTTTGTCCCAGGACACTGGGCTCTGCTCTTCCCTCAGACAACAAGGCCTGTCCTTGGAGTCTCTGCTTACATTTTCCCTCTTCTGGAAGGTTCTTCTGTGTCTTTTTTTTAATAACACAACTACTTCCTCCCTTTCCCCCATCATCACGCGCTTACTTGCTGTCATTCATCGGTACGAACTTCCAGAATGGTCTTGCTTATTATTATTTATTTATTTATTTTTTGCAGACATTTGTGGGGTGGTACCCACTCTGGAATCACAGCTGCCTGACTTCTTTACTGCCCTGCCTCAGGTGCCCAGGGCACAGGGAGGGGCTTGGTGCATCATAAGATCCCCTGTTCTCAGACCACCCAGTTTCTTCAGGAAGTTTGAAAAAAATTAGAGAACGATGTAGATTTAGTCATAGGTCAAAAGTGCTCAACCAGGGGATGGCCTGTGGCTCGTTTACTTATTATAGGAATTGGTGGACATGTATGGTGCCTCCATTAAGAAAATGTCACTTCGAGTCCATGCAATCTATTCTTGCTGTTTTCTAGACTGAACTGGCAAACACTAGGCTCCTCGGAAAGATCAAGAGAGGGGTTCCCAAGAGCTTTGGGGCACAAGACTTTCACTGACACATTCAATATGTAGCCTTATTTTTGTGAGGTCTTTTTTTTTTTTTTTTTTTTTTTTTTAGCTTATTGGTGCCTAGTACAATATACATTGTAGATTCATTAGAATGGAACTCACTGCCCAGGAATCTAGGATTTCTGCCCAAAGAACTCTTACTGAATGCATGTGTTCTCTACACAAGGCACATCACAGTCTCTTACTCTTGATGCCAGACAGACTCTAGCACTAGCCTGGGGACCAAGACAACCCAAAGAAAGCACCCAAACGCCAATCACAAGTTTCCCAACAGAACACAAGCACTGTATTCACAGCGCACAGGCTGGAACAAGAAGGCAGACCACTTCACCTCCTCCTTCCCGTTAGTTGAGGACATGTACATTGGGTAACTCAAAGCTTTGCCAGTTCGAGTGTTTCCAGGAACAATGGCAAAATCTAAGTGACTAATTTAGGAATTACAAATAGTATTTGGTGACTAATTTAGGAGTTACAAATAATATTTGGTGACTAGGTCAGTTCATAAGTACAGACTCCACAGAGAAGGAATTGTCAGTGTAAATCTTCAGAAGCAATGTTGGCCTTGGTGTGAAGGCATACATTCTGTATCATCCCTCCCTCCCTCCCTCCCTCCCTTCCTCCCTCCCTCCCTCCCTCCTTCTCTCCTTCCCTCCTTCCCTTCCATTAACTATTGTTTGGGGACAAGATCTCTCTATACAGGCTAGGTTGGCCTCAGCTTGGAACTTCCTGCCTCAGCCTTCTGAGCGCTGAGATTTGAGGGGTGCCCGCCACACTCATCTGTGGTTCCACAGTTGTCAATGTTGTGTGGCTTTTCTCTATGGGCTTCAATGTGAGTGCATGTCACCACATGGATACTAAGATAACACATAGCTTTTCCAGTGAGTAGGTGATTCTGTCAACATTTTCTCATTGGGCAGAAAGAATCATATCAGCACCATGAATTTCAAAAACATGTCTATTGCAAATCCATGCTTTGCTTTTGTGAAGGTCAATGTCCTGGATGAAGACACCTTGGTCATGAACTTGGAGTTCAGTGTTCAGGAAACTACATGCCTGAGAGACTCTGGTGATCCCTCCTCCTGTACATTCCGAAGGGGCTACTATGTGGTAAGTGACCCAGAAAGTAATGCAAGGGAGACCCTCACTACTTCCATGGCCAGGAGAGGGTCAGGGGTCACCAAAGGAGCCTGGCCACTGCCTGTCTGGCACTCAATCACACACTGGGTCACTACAGCATTTCCTGCCATGAACTGGGTGTTCTGTGCTTAAGGGAGTGAGCTCTTGAGCTAGGAATCTGCAGTCTTTGGTGATATTGGTCAATTCTTTAACCCTTACTGCCCCAGTGTCCTGTTTTCTAAAGTACAGATGAGCTCTCCCATAAATATTCTATCAGTCTCACAAGGTGGGGATGGTTTGTATCAGGCACAGTGGATGCAAAGAGGCCCACAGCAAAGAGAAGCCCCAGCACATCTGAAACTCTACCCAACATGAGTGTGAAACTGTGAGCCTCACTTTGGTACACTGTCCATAATTGAGCATTGCCTGCAGAGTGTCTCCCCTTCTCCTTCAGGTCACATGGCCTATTTGTTTCTGCATTCCCTGTGACCAGAATGGTCAGTCGTTGTGGGGTGGGACCCTCACTGATCAGAAGGAAACCACTGGTCCAGATCCAAAATATTTCCAGCCAAATGAGTGACTTCCCGAGGTCCATTAGAAAGGGAATAATTTGGTTATGTATCTCATAAACTTCAATGGGATTCTGTCTTACAAAGGTCTGTCACAGGCATGCACTTCTAATTAAATCTTAGTGCCAAGTGACTTATCCATATCCATATATATGGCATATACACACACACACACAGAGATATATACATGTGTGTATATATGTATATATGTGTGTACGTACATACCTATGTATGTATGTATGTATGTATGTATATGTCATATAGTCAAATATGTGGCCATCTCTCCCACTTGTTTCTGTTAAAGCAAAACTAGATTTCAGACAGCCCTTTTTTACTCATGAGGGAAGGCGGGCTTTTCTCAGAGACTGGTATTAAACTCATGGAGATATTTAAACATTCTTTTTATTGCTGCTTAGTTCTGCAGAGTGTTCGCTTTGGAAAACTGAACCACCTCTGTGAATTTCCCCTTTCTGCCTCATTTTGCAAACCCTGCATTATTTCCCAGTTTGTTGTCCAGGGGCTATAACCCCTCCCACAGGGTGCTGAAGAAGCAACTCATGACTCTGTCTTTGCAGCCAAGAGCTGCTTGCAGGAGCACCGTGCAGATGTCCAAGGGACAGGTGCAGGATGTGTGGGCTCACTGCCGCTGGGCCTCCGCATCTGATTCCAACAGCAGCGAGGAGGTATGATGGGGGCCTGTCTCCTTCCAGCTGGGTCTGGGGATGGTCTGTGAAAGCTGAGCAGTTGTATAGGATAGCTGGATCATCATTGGGACGCCAGGAGACAGAGTTCTGCGCACACAGCTGGATTCTCCCTTGAACAACTACTGTCTCATTTTCCATAATCCTTACTTCTCTCCACCTCACTTCCCCAACACAAAATACAGCAGCACAGCTCTTACCTCAAAGGGAATAAGAAATAGTTCGTTTGGGAGCTAAATGTAAGTGATCATGGCCTGGGAGCACAGATTCAGTGGACCCCAAACGCTCTGTCCCTGCGTGGTAGTTTGCTTTTTTATTTCATGTTTTTATAGGCACAGAACAATTAAAGTACAAAATCAAGGGATTCTCAACAACGTTTGTGTAGATGCAATACAGCAAAGAGGGAAAACCGTTGGGGGCCTCGGATGCATGTGATGTCACTTTTAGCTTCGGGGTTTCTGGGAGCTAGGGATCTGTACATTCCCCAAAGGATTTGACTTGATGATCACAAGGATGTTAGGCCATACATAGAGGTGGGCAATAAAAGGCTACTGGGGGCTAAGATAGACCAAGGGAATTTGATCTAAACCAGAAACTTTCTAGCTGTCCACAATCACCAAAACATAACCAGTCAGCATATTAGTCAGGGTTCTCCAGAGGAACAGGGCTGGTAGAATCTCTCTCTCTCTCTCTCTCTCTCTCTCTCTCTCTCTCTCTCTCTCTCTCTCTCTCTCTCTTCTGTTCTCTTCCTCTTCCTCCTCTGTCCCTTCCTCTTCCTCCTTTTCCTTTTAACCCTCTCATTCTCTCATTCTCCTTCTTTCTCACTTTTTCTCCCCGAGATTCAGGACTTGGTTTCAGAGCATCACTTACTAGATTTCAAAGTCTGACACCCAAGTCTGTAGCTCAGTGGAGAGCACAGAGGCGTTTTTTTTGGACCAGTGTTCAAAACTGTTAGATCTGCAGCTCTAGGTCAGGATTCTTAGCCTTCTTTTAACCTCCATGATCTTCAACTTCTTCACGTATTAAATGCTGAACAATAAAGAGACCAGCTGTCACCAGAGTTTTTAGGACAAAGGCCTGGGCTGCAGTCCCAGCAGGTGTGGTGGGGCAACCATTCCAATAAACCAGTGAAAGAAACAGTGAAGAGCAGAGAGAGATTTGTTTAATAGGGCCACCGTGGGAAGAGCAATAGGCCAAAGGGTCCAGTGACCTCCATGTCCATCTCTGAAGTCTAGACGTGAGTCTAGAGTCTAGGTTTAAAGAAAAAAAAAAAAAAGGGAGCAGAAGGTGAGAGGCATACGTATGACTAAGCAATTCTTAGCAAGATATGGTGCCCCCATCACTGACTCATCATTATTTCAGCCCCAATCTGCCCTGCAATCCAATCGAGTAAATTGATAAACTATTAATCACTTTCTTTGCCGAAGGGAACCAGCCTAGTTCCTACATGTGATGACTTCTATTCCAGGGTGCAGCCTCGCCTTCAGGATAATTGCTCTGCAGGGTAGGGTGAGGGGCATCCTTGAAAGTTTTGATCCTCCTGGAATGGAAAATGACCTCAGGTTTAGGATATTGACTTGCCTCTGAGCCTTCAGCCTTGAAAGGGAATGAGATAGGTTAGATAAACACTTCCAGAGTGATTGACATGCTAATCTGTAGTGTAGAGACACCTTAGAGCCTGTCTTCATCCTCCCTGTGAGCCCAAATGAGGCGTCAAAGGATGTGAAACACCAACTCCAGAGTCTGATGGATCATAGATGTTGAGTCAGTGGCAGAAGCAGCCTTTTTGTCCCTAATTGCTGTGGACAATGTATTAGTGACAAAATCAACTTAAGGGAGGGTTCCTTTGGGCTCACAGTTTGAAGGGACAGCCCATCATGGTAGGCAAAGCATGGCAGCAAGGACAGCCTTAGCTGTAGTGACAGGGCTGTGAGGTGCTGGTCACACTGTGTCTGAAGTCAGGAAGTAGAGAGGTGTGGGGGTGCTAGTCCTCAGCTGGCTTTCTTCTTTTCCCCATTTTATTCATCCTAGGACCCCATGCCATGGCATGGCACCACTTGCATTTAGTGTGAGACTTCTCACTTAAACCTATTCATAGACTCTACAAGAGGTGTGTCTCCTAGGTGATTCCAAATCCCATCAAGTTAACAGCCAACATTAGCCATGACAAAGTGGTTTACATTATTACTATGAAATCAATGATATACATTTATGACTTGATCTCCTATTACGTCCTTGACAACGTTTCCTACTAGACTGCACCTTCTGAGGCTGGAGGATGCTAGTTTTCGTCTGCCTCGTTTGTACTTGATGCCAGATAGGTGCTCAGTAAATACTTGTTGAAAGAATACAAGAATGCTGAGGAAGAAATGGTCAGGAATACGGCACAAAGAAGAACCTTCTAGACTCCAGTGGTGTGATTAACATCACAGTTATATCATTTGCTCATTTGTAGTGGGGTAATATTCTTGACTGGTGTTTAAATCTTTTCTACTACTGTGCAGCTGTATAATAATTTTCTCTACATGTTCTATTTTTATTCAGTTTGCCGAGATAGAGCTTTATTATGAACATTATATTAAAAAGTGCATAAAACTCTAACTCAAGAATTATAGCTGGGCAGTGGTGGTGCACGCCTTAATCTCAGCACTCGGGAGGCAGAGCCAGGCGGATCTCTATGAGTTCAAGGCCAGCCTGGTCTACAGAGTGAGATCCGGGACAGGCACCAAAGCTACACAGAGAAACCCTGTCTTGAAAAACCAAAAAAAAAAAAATTGTATATGAGCATTAATGCCCTCTGTAGAGTCCACATACCCACCCCTTGGCTGTTTCATAATGAAGTGTGTGGACTGTGGAGTTTTCTACAAACTGCTATTAATCTCATAAGTGTAAATTGGAATTCTCACAGAGACATTTCCTCTAAAGCTCTATGTTTTGACCTGAACTTGGTCTAATTATCAAGTTCCACTTCTGCTCTGCAGCATTTAGAAGCACAGTGAAAGCTTTGGCTTCGACTGAAATTTCATGTAACTTGCTCTTCTCCATGGGATTTCCTGCCTTCTCCCTCCCTCCCTCTTGCCTTCCTTCCTGGCTTCTGTCATTTCTTTTCTTTGTGGGAAGGGCAAGGTCTCACTTTACAGCCCAGGCTTGTCTTGAACTCACGATCTCCCTGTCTCTGCCATTTGACTGCTAGGATTCAGGCATGCATCATCCCACCTGTTTTTCCTGAGTTGTCTTCCTCTGAAATTGTTTTAATTAACTAACCACTGAGCCATCTTTCCAGCCTCTTACTGTGCTCTCTTTAATATACACATTAGATACCACAGAGACCTACCCTTATTTCACTGAATGCATTATATATCCAAGTTCTCTATGTAGCATTTACAGTTTTCTCTTTCATCCTGATATCTAAACTTCTCTAGATGACTTTTGGGGACATGGCAAGATCCTACAGACGGAGAAATGATTATCTGCTTGGTAAGTTGAGAACTATGACCTTTAAATACTATTTGTTTTTTTCCTTCATACAACTTCAAATCACAGTTCTCTGGGAAACATTTCAAGCTAGATATGTCTAGATCTTCTACAGATAACCTTTGAACAATTAAAGTCATTACAAAAAGCAAACACTTGGTTTTACTTCTGTTCTTTCTTATCTCACTGGGTAATGATGCAACCATTTGCTTAAGTATTTCTACAGAGTTTCCCATACAGGATTGCATTCAGTGGTCCCAGCTACGGGCCGGTAGGGTAAATGACAATTTCCCCTTGTTCTAGTCCTGTTTCTGTTGCTGGGATAAAATACCACAACCAAAAGCAGCTTGAGGGAGGAAAGGGCTTATTTGGCTTACACATCTCAATCATGGTCTATCATGAATGGAACTCAAGGCAGGAACCTGGAGACAGGAACTGAAACAGAGGCCATGGAGGAGTGCTGCTTACTGGCTTGCTCTCTATAGTTGCTCAGCCTGGTTCCTAATACAACCCAGGACTGCCTGTCCAGGGGTAGCACTGCCCATAGTGTGCGGGGCCCTCCCACATCAGTCATCAATTGAAAAATGCACCCCCATAGACTTGCATACAGGCCAATCTGGTAGGGGCATTTTCTCAGTAGAGGTTTTCTCAGATGACTTAGTTTATGTCAAATTGACAAACAACTAACCAGCATATGCATTAAGAGGGCCTCACACTTGAACATGCTCATTCCTCCCTCATGCACCATCCATGCCGTAGGGTCTAGAGTGTGGTTCTGTGCCCAATCAGGGTAGACTCAGCCATCTCCAGTCATGTGACCGGCATTCATGTCACTGTCTCTCAAGGTGTTTTGGTTGGGTCATAGAAGGCTCTCTACTTCCCCTCCCTATGCAATGTTTAGTTGTAAATGGCATCAGGTTCATGCTCTGCCATTTAGAAGCCCTTTTTTATGTTTCTGATGAGATTTCCTATTGGCGTTAATGTCAATAAACTCCTCTGCTGTCATACACGGCTCCTCTGTCTTAGGAGCCTATTTGCAGGTTCAGCTCCAGGATTACAGCACTCTCTGGAAGTGGGTGGGGAAGACTGGCCTGATCGTTGTTAATGTGTTACAGGTTTTCTTTCTGATGAGTCCAGAAGCGAACGATTCCAGGACCGGTCACTCGGTAAGTGGTCTGTTTCCTCCTCCTGGGAGCTGCTACTGGAGCCTTTGCTCATCAGCAGGGCCCACACTGAAGCCGCCACACAAAGGACAGACCCTGAAGTAGGAAATCACGTCAACAAACCAGAGCATTAATGTATAAATTTGCTTTGTAAACCGTGAGAAGGGAACATTGAGACACTGGCTGACACAGAAGTCACCAGAAATCAAATATTAAGTCAACTTGGAAAGTCATCACTGGCCTTTCTTCTTGTCCCACCTGGAGCATTTTCTGGGCCACCTTCCTTCTGACTATCTCCCTCCTTTACCAGACTTGACCAGACTTCTCAGTAAACGAAGAAACTGGAACTTTAGTCCATCCTTGTACGGTCAGTTTCCTTATTCCAGTCTTCTGGGAGGCTCTGTCAGCCCTGTGGTCACCACTTACACCCAGAAGAGCTCAGTTCTGAAAACACTGGGTGTTAATTGACAGACACAGAGTACATCCCCCACACTTGCTGCTTACCAGGGCTTCCCCCTCTGACTCTCACACCCATACTGTGGCTGCACTGTGTTCTCACCCTCCTTGGAGGCTTTTGTAAGGTACTTCTCTCTATTTCTACAGATGTTTTTCCATTCAGTGGTCCCAACATCTCTGCAGGCAGGAGGGGCAGAGGTTCCCCTTAAGAGGGCCTTGAACTTGTACGCACTTATTCCCCCTGCATGTGTTATCTGAGTTACAGGGGCCAGTGTGTGGCAGTGTTCCCCTTGAAGGGTCAGGACCCAACCTCATCTATGTAGTCAGGGTGGACTCTGTTGTCCCCAGTCATGTGACGAGCACAGAGGCCAGGACTTTGAACCAGGTCTGTGCATTCTCCACACTTGTTTCCAGCATTGTGAAATCCACCCTGTGTCCAGAGCCCTGTTACAATAAGTGACACCGATATCCACACATGTCTCATCTTCACGCTCCAATTGATCCTGAGTGCTAGAAATTAAACCTGAAACTTCAGTTTTTAAATCCCCCCAAGGTTTGTCTCTTTGGGAGAACATACACACACACACACACACACACACACACACAGAGTTGACATAGCCATGATTACAGCTCAAGTGTTCTTTTCGACATTTCTTACAGAACTGCCTTCAGAATCCACAGCCTAGTCCTTGAATGTCTGCTATAGTAGGAACTGTTAGATCTTGGGATTTGATTCTGGAAATGGTCAAAAACAGGAAATAAATCTGATGAGTCGGACTTTTAATCTACATAGGAACTTTACTACCGATTGCTACACACCAGCATATTCCCAAATTCAGCATCTCTGACAGCAAGCCATCATTATCTTGTAGTTTCTGGGGTGAAGAACATAGGAACAGCTTAGCTGGGTATCTCTGAATCAGAGACTATATGAAGAGGTAGATAGGTTATTGATGAGCCTTTCAATTGATGTTGACTGGGGACAAAGGATTGGTATTCAAGCTCCTGACTTGGTTGTTGGAAGGTCTCAGGTCCCCATGGGCTTTGAACTGAAAATTAGTTTCTTACTACATGGGTATCTTGACAGGGATGTGTGAGTGTTCATAAAACATGTCAAATTTCCCCAGTGAGGAGAAAGAGGAAGAGAGAGTTAGAGGGCAAAAGACAAAGAACACTGGAGGAACAAAAAGAGACAGAGACACAATCAGACAGACAGACAGACAGACAGACAGACACACACACACACACACACACACACACACACACACACACACACACACACACACAAAGGGGGTGGTGTACAGAGAGAACAAGGGATGAAAAATAGAGTACAGATGTAAATTCATGCGACCAGTCCTCTTGTGTGTGTCAGAAGGCATCTCCAAGCCAACACTTAAGCACATTTGGGCCTTGGAGCATCGTTAATGCAGATGTACAGCTGTCTCCGAGATGCCTTTGAACATAATGATTTAATTTCATTCCACAAATGTGTCTGACAAGCTTGGGGTGGCTTCCACGGAGGACTGAAAGAGAGATGTGACAGTTCCTGCCCTTGAGGGCTTGCAGTTGCGGCTGAGGGTGTCACGTGGGCTAAAGAGTGAGAAGTCAGCTCTGGGGGCCGCTGGGACATGAGAGGGCCTGAGGCTTGTTGGGGAAGACAAGAGATGGTGCCTTGGGTGTTCCGTGGGCAGTGAGGGCTCTGGCTGTGCTTGACTTGTTCTCAATAATTCATGCCTGACCAAGTCTCTGCTTCCCCCTTCCATCTTTAGAGACGGTGAGAAGGGGACATCCTCTTGCATATAGAAGGTTCCAGAACCTCCATCACAGAGCAAGAATAAATTCTGGCTTCGAGTGACATCCTGGAGGTAAGAGAGAGCACTTACATTATGATCATTTAGAAGCACAAGGAACCTGGAGTAAATGCCGTGGCTTCGGAGGGCTCTGGCCCTCCTTCCCATGCTCCTTAGTGTCCATTCTGGCTTTCCATTGCCTCCTGCCTCCTCCAACCACTGTGCTTCCATCTCATGGACCCCCGTCTTTCCCCCGTGGCATCTGCTGCTACTGACATGGTCAAGTTTCTCCACTTTACAAACCACAGAGAGAATAGGCCCTGCTTCAGCCAGCCTCTACCCCAACCCTCCTTCCCTCCACTCTTTCTTCCCAGGAGGCTCCATAACGTTTTTCATGGAATCCTCTTTTTGTCATTTCAACACTGCTGGCCACGTGTACTCTCGCAGCCCCATTCTTTCTCTCTTCTGTAGATCACGCTGCCATCTCTTCCTCTTACTTGTCCATCACTGTCATTGATGGGTAGGCTATCTTCAAATGTGTCGCACTGTCCCAAGATCGGGGTCCTTATGTCAGCTGCCTGTGGGAGGCACTGGCCATGGGTCTACTGTGAGATCCAGAAGTTCTGCTACCCTCCTTTCTTTTGATGCCATTGCTACCTACCTAATTTTCCCAACTTAAAGCTCTGGGGAGCATCACTGAGCATTCTTCTCTGTCCTTCCTCATCTCCTGGTATCTGTGGGATGCCAGGATGGTTGTTGTACAGGCACATTTATCTGACTACAGCCTGCCCCTTCCTTCCTCACTACTGACAACTGACAGCATCCCGGCCCCAGGGCCCCATCCCACACTGCCTGCCTTGCCTGCTGTCCTTGAGTTTGTCCTGATAGATGAGGAGCCCTTGATCTTCCTCTGCTGCCCTCTGATGCTGACTTCACTTGCGGGGTAAAGCAGAGGTGTGCAAAATCAGACAGTGAGAAAAACAGAACAATGGCTTTTACACTTTCCCTGGTGCTTTGGGGAGCTGTAGGCCGAGCCCCGGTCTACTAAACTGTCACTCAGCATGGTGGAGTCTCACCGCTACACACATTCCCAATCACCAGGCATGAGAGCAAGCAGATAAGTGTTCTGAAAAGTCACAAGCATCAAAGGGATTCCATGAAGGATGCAGTTAAAAGGAAGCTTACGATCCAGTTGCAGAGGCTGGACAGATGGCTCTGTGGTTAAGAGTGCTTGTTGCTCTTGCAGAGGACCTGAGTTTGATTTCCAGAACCTACAGGGTGGTTCACAACCATGTATAACTCCAGTTCCAGGGATCCAGCCCCCTCTTCTGACCTCTGTGGACACCAGGCACACATGCGGCACACATACATGCATGTAGGCATTCACACACATAAAATAAGAAAATCTTAAAAAATTAAAAATTAAATAAAAGGTTGGAATTACAGGTGTGGATTCAAGGGCAGCCATGTTTACAGGAAGACACACAAACTACTAACAAAATTACTAACAAAACCTTAGCATTCATGCACTTTACATTTTTAAAGAAAACATTTATTCATTTTATGTGGATGAGTGCTTGCCTGCCTGTATGTATATGTGCCTGGTGCCCTCAAGTACTGGGAACTGAACCTAGGTTTCCTGCAAGAGCAGCTCTTAACTGCTGGCCATCTCAGCAGCCCTTTGCTCATTTTATAGTGTGTACAATACTGCATGCTTTCAGACATGATCTGAATGCCCCAAAGGCTCACAGCAGCCTTCCTGCTTTAGCTCTGCACATGTCTAGCTTTGTCCTTCCCCTCCCCCACACCCCTGAGCTCCCATGATGCCCATGTTCAGTTCCCAGCACTGGAATGGTAGTTCACAACCATCTGTAACTCCAGTTCCAGGGGATCCAATACCCTCTTCTGGTCTCTGAGGGCACCAGGCACACACATGGTGCACATACATACATACAGGCAAATACTCTCATTGCTGAGTTCAGGGAGCTTCCTGAGCATTCATTGCAGGACCCTGTAATCAGTCCACGACACTGGGCACATCCATGCTCAGTGTCTTTTGAGCAGGTGCTGGGATCTTTCACATGCATGGCATAATTAATTTTAACGACTTACAATTTGAAAGAAGTCAACTGACATTTTACTAAAATAGAGAGAAAATTCACTATGGATGCAAGCGGCAGATTTTCTTTTTAATCTAAAAATAAAAACCAGCTTCTTACTGAGATCAGGAAACTATGCATCATGAAGAAAGAGACTCATCACATTCTTCACATACATACAAAGAAAACTGCCCCAGTAGAGCATCTGGAGCGAGGGCAGGGTGTGGGGAAAGAATTCTCAGTGGGTCGGCTGTGCTTTGTGTATTGATGATATGATTACCTCGAGTGTGCATGCATGCATGTGTCACAATAGAGTTGCCTCATCTAACATCTGCAAAGAAATGAATCACCTCAAACACGTGTCTTTAAACGCAGCACAGACTGAAGGCCAAATGCAGCAGCTTTGGCCTGTACATTGATTTTCGCTAGTGTCCCAGTTACGTCTCTGCCCTCGTGTGACCTTTAGCAGGGCAGGTTTTGAAACAGTCCACCATGTTGCAGAGAGTCACAAAATGAAGCTAGTCATAGTCACACAATGGGTCTAGTGAGGAGGCAGCCCCGGTGTGCTCTGGGCTCAGCTGGTCTCTTTCTAAACCTGCACCGTGGCCTCTAACAGGCATCCAGCCCTGAGATCAGGGCTCAGCACCTCCAAGGCTGTGTGTCAGGCTTGATTTATTTTTCTTCCCATTAGACGGTGAACTTTTTGCAGGTGCCTTACCTAGCCATCCTTATTATTTTAGTTCAATGATTACTGGAGGTATCCCTAGTGTCTATATAAAATTATTTATGAAAATATCCTTTATTAATTTCATTAAATAGCCAGGATAGAATGAGTGGGTGATTGACCATTAGTGAGATTACTATTTTTAAATTGTGAATGAATCACATTTTTCCACTTTATCATGAGCCTGCCCCAGTCCCTGGATTAAAATAGAAGCTGAGGAAATGTGTCTGTAATTTAATAAATACTGTTCTAGGCTCCTTTAAGGTTGCCGCAAATGATTTAATGCATGAGTAGAGAGTGAAACGTACTATTTAATAAAGTAGCCATGGCATTGTTTGTTAGTGGGACTCCAAAATAGGAAGTTTGGAAAAACCAGGGCCCAAGTCTCATGTTGAGAAGGATCTGCTTGAGAGTTCTACACTTTCTTAATCTTTGTAGTGAGACAGTTCTGTCTTGTCAACTGTGGAGTGGCCAGAAGAATCTGAGCCAGGGCGTTTTCTTTATTCTGCCCTGTGGCTGTCCATAGGCTTGTTAACTTGTCCCCAAGAGCAGTGGCAGAGGCAAGTGTAGACAAAACATTTCAGCACAATTAAAATATCACCACAGGCAGGTCTGATGGTTTTGCTCTATAAGCCAATAGTGAAAAGATCAGTCCCATGGTTTTCCCACTCATTTCTTCAGCCACTGTTGATCAAATGTCCTCTCTGTGCCTAGCCACCACACCCAGGAAGGCCATCACTCACATGTTTAGTCCCTTCACACACATTGCCTTATGTCAATTCTATAGCAATCATCTGTTTCTTAGAGAAGGGGGCAAGGTGCTCAGACAGGTCCTGCTTGCACAGATGCTGTTGGGATTGTTGTTTACCTTCTCATCTCTGCTTCCTACACCTCTGTTTTTTTTCTTATGATACATCTCTACATGAAACTTCAATGTTTGAGATCCATTTATGATGTGCTGAGCGGCCCTATATGTTCTTGATAACTAGCCATAACTTGAGCAGCGTACCTACCACCACCAACCAGGTGGGGGCACTGTTCCCTAACACCTGAGACACCTTGGCCTCTTGGGGAGGGATTTCATTGTTCATGTTTCAGACTCATTAGTGAGAATTTCTTATCATCTCCAGAACATACTCACCTACCGAAGGGATCCAGAACCCACAAGAAAAGAGGTGGGGAACCCCATCAGGGCCCAAGAGGCAAGAGCCTGATCACTCTCCACTTTACCCTGGCTTTCATTCCTGCACTCTGCAGCTCTTAACAATTGTTTTACCAGGTCCAGTGAGCTCCCGAGAGCTGCATTAGTTATGGTCTACACATGTGAGAACATGGACTTGCTAAATCACTGCATCAACGAGAAACGTAAGGGGAGGCAGTGAGTAGATGAAGGGCTGAGGTTCAGACCCTAGGGAACGTGATCATTTGAGGAGCAGGAAGAAGAGTGCTCTATGAAGAACAGGGAGTTTTGGCCAGAGTGGGAGCCAGGGAATGGAGGAAGTCTCAGCAGCAACTCGGAGCTGTATTCTTGACAGTTCCTTAATAGAGTAGTATGCAACACAGTTTCATGTGTGTTTCTGATTAGACACCTTATTGAATGTTTTTGTTGAGTCTTCTTTTTTTTTTTTTTTTAACATTAAACGCATGCCCAATGTGTTGTAACTCTGGCTAGAGAAGAACACATCCAAGCTGAGCCTGGTGGTGCAGGGCAGAAATCCCAGCTACACAAGAGGCTGAGGCAGGAGGGTCACAAGTTCAAGACTTTCCAGGGTTGCAGAATGAAAATCAACTATCAGAAAGGCAATGGCTGCAGCCCAGTGGCAGGGTGCTTGTACAGCATCTGAGAGACCAGGACTCTGTCACCAACACACAAAACATCACACACACACACACACACACACACACACACACACACACACACACCCCACACACACAGAACCGTAGAACATATAGGTTTGCCCATAAAGTCCGCCCCAGCCTTCTTGGACTTAGGAATACTACACAACACTACCCTGGCAAGACATTTTAAACAGTAACCCATCAACACAAAGTTAAAACATGGGAAAAAATCCACAATAGCAAATAAACTTTACAAAGGACGCTTGTTTCGTTTAGAACATGAGAATTGAAACAAAAAGATAAGATGTTTCCTCACTGAACCTCAGCGGGGCGGGGGGCGGGGGGGGGGTCCACGACACAGACAGGATGTCTCAAGGATTGGGTCACTCTAAGCTTGTCCACAACCGAACAAGAGGCCATGAGAATTGACTTGGGGGTACAAGCAAATATGAGTGAGCGGGTGAACCCACAAACAGAGCTGAGACTGTGGACTGACTGTGCCATGGTATATGCACTCTGTAGCTGGTGTATCCTCGGCTCCTTTGAGCATCTCTTGCTCTATGTCTCTTCCTATCCTCTTGAAATGCAGTCCATATTGTCTGAGTTCTGAAGGGCCCCCTAACCTGAAGGGTGTGTCTGAGCTCCCGAGTACTATGGCACATGGACAATGACTCCAGTAGTGTGGTCTCTGTCTGTACCCCTTGTTGGTGTCCTGGTTTCCTACCTCACACAGAAGGCTCACACAGTAAGCAGTTCTTACTAGACCCTGGGTTTCACCTCCATCCCCAGGTCCTGTCCAGCTTACCTGAGGGCATTTCACTCACTGCCCTCTCCAGGAGCTGATTGCCTTGAGTGTCTGTAGTCAGACATCTGAAACCTCAGAGACATCCATCTTCTCCACTACTTTCTGACTTTAAATATTTTGGGATGTCAATGCTGTCTTTTTTTAATCTCTACAGTCCTCAATGTTTAATGTATTCTTGCTTACTGAACAGATTAACTGATGGATGAATGAGTGGGTGGATTTGTGAAAATTTCATCTCCAGCCCCATCTCCTCAGATTACCACCATGTCTCGTCAGCCACTGCTTTCCTGGGCTCCTCCATCCCCCATTCACAGGCCAGCACCTGGCTAGAGTCTTTGCAAGGAGTCTCTCTGATCCTTCCTGCTCTGAGAAATGAACTCCCTTTGTGAGGCTGTGTCTTTGTCTCCTGACCAGGTCACCTCATCTTCCTGTGGTGTCTCTCACCCACTCTTTGGTCTTAAGCAGGCTGCTTTGTGTAGCTGTTCAGGTCTCCTGTGGCATTTGGATCACTTTTTGAGCAACTCCCAGGAATCCCAGGCCGGGCCTCCAATGCAGGGATGCTGATGCACACCAAGGTGGTCTAACCTGCCTCTCCTCAGGGATGCGGATGCATATCGTGGTGGTCTAACCTGCCTCTCCTTCTCTCTTGAATAGAATCCGTGACAGGAAGAGAAGCAGAAGCAGCCATGAAGAAAGGCGTGTGGCAAATTGTGTAATTTTCTCTTTGATGAGTTCCACTCTGCAATAAATGCCTTTCTCTTCCCAAAAGACTCTCTCATTGTCTGGTTCGGAAAAGAGTATCATTAACTATCCAATTTCAGATGAGAAACTAATGTCACAAGGAGGGTGTTAGGGATGGAGACTCACAAAGTAGCTGTATTTCATGTGTTTTTGGCCAATGCACAATGGTTGTAAATGCCTTGTTATTCAAAGTAAGGGGGCTCAAGCAGCTTGTTCTCTTTCCTTTTAAGTCAGCGTGATGACTTTTAGGGCAGGAAAACTATCCCATGTGATACTGCCAAGGTGGCACTTGACACCATCCGCTCTTTAAGTCCCAGAGAACAGAGGAGGCCACAAACACCCATGCAGCAGGGTGTAGTTGGCAGTAACACAGCAGCCTGGGTCACCGGGCAGCACAAATGCTGGCGGTAACACAAGCGGCTAGCAACAGAGAACACCCTTTGGTGTGAGAACAGGTTACTCGGTGTCCTGTGTGTCTGCAGACCTAAAACTGCTCGAAGAATAAAGCTTAGTGGGCTGTGGATGCCTCAGTGGGTAAGACTGCCTGATGCCTAAGCATAGGAACCTGAATTTGAATCCCCAGACCCCATCTATTAAAAAAAAAACAAAACAAAAAAACAAAACAAGGCTGGGTATGGCCACGCATGCCTGTAATCTGTGTTGATGGACAGGCACACCCTCCGCACTCATTGGTCAGCCACACTTGCTGAAATGGGGAGCTTCAGGTTCAATGAGAGATGTTGTCTCAAGGAAGGCAGAGGGTGAGGGAGCTAGACACCTGGCATCCTCCTCTGGCTTCGGCACACATATGTTTTTAACAAATAAAAAATTTGTCCAGTGGCTAAGGAGTAAGAAGTATTGTAGCCAACGACTGTCCCTACAGGAAACATCCCCCCACCCCAACACACACACACTACTGCTTTTCCTTTGGCTTTCTTATCTAATAAACCAGCTGCAGAATGAATTATCTTTCACAGCAGGTATTCCCAAGACACTCCCCACTGCAGGGAATAGGGCTATATGCTCAAAGCCACGTGTTTCGATACCATTCACAGTTTGGTGTGTATGTGTTATATATGTTTTATAACTATATATATATATATTTATATATGTATGTATATAATATATTTGTAATCATGAGATGGCACCCAGTCCACCATTAAGAGTTTAGCATGCAGGGCACAGTAGTGTTTGCCCATGATGCTTAAGAAGCTGAAACAAGAGAATCATAAATTTGGAACCAGCTTAGGCCTCATGGTGAGACCCTGTCTCAAACAAAGATGGAGCTGCTTGTGCCAGCCTTCCAAAAGCAATCAAAAGTCAAGACATTATAAAGGAATGGTTCTTGTGCTCAGCTTCCCGGCACAAAGAGAACGCACTCTAACCTCGGCCCCCACCCATATTCTGTTCACGGCATATGTTTCAGACACAGACATGTGTGCGTCAAGACTGAAGAATTAGAACGAGGAGTTGGGGTATGGAACTGGCCTGGCAGGGATGAAGGTATTCCCTCCCTTTGGCTAACTGTGAGACAAGGCACTCCGGGGAAGTGGAGTTTCTTCTAGGAATCAATCTCACACGGGGAAAGGAGGAAGGCTGGAGCCTGGGACCAACCCAGAAGTTACTTTCTGGAAAGAGATTCCACACCTTCGCATCCTTGTAACCCCTCCATCAGCTGGTCAGGATTTTGAGGTGTTTCGCTGTTTGTTTAGGTTCTGTGGTCTTCCCAGTGGGAATACTGGACTTACTCCTTTTTAAAAAATTAAAACATTTTTTAATTTCCTGCATTCATATTGTATTCACATCTTTTTCTCCTTCCTCTCTTCAACTCTTCCCAAGTCCTCCCTACTCCCTCTCAAGGTCATGACCTCTTCCTCTTTAATTATTATTGTTATAGAAACCATTTAGTGTTGCTCCTATATATATGTGCTTAGGGCTGACCTATCAGGGGGATCACCCCAAGAGAAGACTAATTCTCTGTCTCTCAGTCTGTCTCTCTCTGTCTGTCTGTCTCTTTTTGCAGCCATTAATTGCCTATATTTCTTCCCCTGGGGGCCATGCCCTGTTAGATTTCTGCTTTCCACACTGACACATGAGCCAATGCTGTCATTGTGCGGATCTTGTTTAGGTGACCATATTAAGACGTCCTGGCTGCAGCTTCTCCGTTCCATACAGGAGACACTATCTCACTGCAGACATCCTGCTCCTCTGGCTCTTACAATTGCCACACCCTTCTTCAGCAATGTTCCTGAGCCTTGGGTGTAGGGGTCGGGTTGTCGATGCATCAACAGGGGCTGGGCACACCACGGTTTGTTGTTCTTGGCATTTTGCTCATTTATGGCTCTCTGTGATAGCCTCCATCTGCTACAAATGAAGCTTCTTTGATGGAGGGAGGGAGCTATATACCTGTGTGCATGGGGATAAGTTTTTAGAATGGAGGTGGAGATTATAAACATGTTCCTGCTTCACTTAGAATGCTTACCCCAACATTCATAAATCGTAAACTCTCTTCTGCCTTTATGGTTGAACCCAATCACTCCCTCTGCCTCAGTAAACTGCTGCACTCTGAACCCACCGAACACTTCATCTGTAAACACCTGTGTGGGGCATCAGGGGTTTCCTTTATGGTCAAAGTAGGATAAAAGCTATGCACAATTTAGTTATTAATTTCCATATTTTTGTAATTTGCAGTCTTTAAATTCACTAAACATCTTCCACACACCCCCAGAGAAGACAGCAATAAATACACACAGGTGTGGAATGGCTGGTCCTTGCTCAGCACTTGCCATTGGTCCTGGAGAAAGCTGGGGTGGGTGTGAGGAATATCTGTAGGCAGAAGTGTTTGACCCCCGTGAGTCTGTGCCTTGGGAGAGTAAGAGCCGACACCCCCACTGAGCACGTCTAAATGCACAGCTGAGGATCCTGGGCCTTCTTAAAGGGCAGCTCTTTCTTCGAGCATTTGCCAGCAAGCCAAAATATGAACAGTCAGTGGAGAAAGTGGCTTCGTCAGCTGCTGCCAACAACGGAGACATCAGGAAGATGAGCCGAGCAGGTGAGATCTGTAGACTCAGAACGCTCAGCCCAGGCTGTTTCTAAGACTTGACGTATGTGACCATTCCCCTTCAGACCAGCACGATGTGAGGCATTTTCAATTAAACACACCAGTCTTTTAGCTGCTCTTGGAGGAGGATGAGGAATGTGCTCCATGCTAGGATTCTCTCTTGGCTCTGTCCACAGTGAAGACAAACAGTGACAGCCCTCTCCACAAAAATGTCATTGTGCCACCATAAGGCTTTGAGCAGAGAAATCAGGCTTCTCCCTAGAGGCAAGTGTGATGAGAGTCACCTGCAAAAGTGACTTTTTTTTTTTTAAACCACAGGATCAACAGTCACATCAGGCGTGACACTGTTGCGTTCTTCGGAGGTTCTGGGAATATGCGCACAGCTTTGTGGATGGTGTTTACCCTCTTGTCATCCCACAGCTGGGAGTTAAAAGTTTCCCAGAGTTCAAATGTTTAATTCTCCCCTTGTGTTCTGTCCCCAGCGGGTCTCATGTGTGGCCTGCTGACAACACATCATGTACTATACTGTCCCTTCGTTACCTGGTTCCTCCTGTAGGACAAGCTGGCTAGTTGGTGCCCATCCTTCTGAGGGCTTCCTCAGCCTGGAAATCAGTCAAGGTCTTAAGTTTGGAGGGAACTTCCTCAGACTTCCTGTTGTTTGTTGTCTTCCTTCCCAGATTTGCAATAAGAGATGGAATTCTGATCCTGAGAATGATTTGTGCACGTCTTATAATAAGGGGTCTCATTTCCTCAGTTATGAGCTGTTGGTAGCTGTAGAAAATGAACATAAGAGAAATGTGAGCTGGGCGGCGGTGGCACATGCCTTTAATCCCAGCACTCGGGAGGCAGAGCCAGGCGGATCTCTGTGAGTTCGAGGCCAGCCTGGTCTATAGAGCGAGATCCAGGACAGGCACCAAAACTACACAGAGAAGCCCTGTAAAACCAGAGAGGAGAGAGAGACAGAGAGAGAGAGAGAGAGAGAGAGAGAGAGAGAGAGAGAGAGAGAGAGAGAGAGAGAGAGAGAGAGAAGAGAGAGAGAGAGAGAGAGGAGAGAGAGAGAGAGAGAGAGAGAGAGAGAGAGAGAGAGAGAGAGAGAGAGAGAGAGAGAGAGAGAGAGAGAAAGAGAAATGTGAAGGTCTTACCGTCAGAATTATTCTGCGGAGTATCCCCTGCGGCAGATGGGGCTCAGTTCTAGTCTAGCCCTTTAAAGTGAAGCTGGGGTTAAATCAGAATAGATTGATTGATTCTGAGTTTTCAAGACTACTTCTGTCTTCCCCTCCTCTCCCCTCCCCTCTCGTCTCCTTCTTCCTCTGTTTTTCCCAACATGCCTGTTACATGCAATGCTTTAGAAGAGGGAGGAGAATCTGAGTGAGGACGTGATGTTTCTATGCATTGAGCAGAGCCCACTGACCTTTGAAGTCTAAGCAAAGCCTGCAAGAGGTGCAGTGTGGTCAAGGGCCCAGCTGTGGTTGCTATGGTAACAGCTGCAGCCACCAGTCCAAGTAGCACATGATCTCTTGTTGGAGCGCATCCCAGGGGCTTATAGAATGACTTAGGAATAGGGGAGAGCCAGAAATATCTTAGTCTGTCTGGGCTGCTATAACCAGATACCACAGACTTAAGTAACAGAAAATTATTTTTTGTGAGTCTGGCTCTGGGAAGTTCAAGATCACAATGCCATCAGTTCCTAGTGAGTGCTCTCTTCAGGGCTTACAGATGGTGGACAGCAAGCCCTGCGTTCATGTCTCCTCCTTAGAAGGACAACAGTCCTGCTCTCAGGACCTCATTTAAGACTGCTCACCTTCCAAACGCCACCATATGGGGAATTAACACGTGCATGGAAGGGACACAAATATTCCTTTCAAAACAGACAGTCATGGGGCTAGAGAGATGACTCGGTACTAAGAGCAC